TCTTCCAAGCACTTTTTATGCTTGAAAAGGTACACAAAATTAGCTTTTTAGTCATTTGTTTCAAGTTATGCATCAGTCTTATTTTCTATCAAATCACAGTCTTATATAAATGTTTTTGTTAAAGTTTGATGGGAAAAGTATGATTGTTAGATATGTTGTTCATTTCCTTTTAGACAGCTAAATTTTCTGTTACAATGGCTTTTCGTTGTTTTCAGCTCTATGGTTGGAGTCAAATTGGACAAACGTGCCACCGGTTTCCTGATGAAGAAAGAGTTAGATTATTTTGCAAAAGCTCTGGATAATCCTGTTCCACCATTCCTCGCAATTTTGGGTGGTGCTAAAGTAGCAGACAAGATTCAGCTTATTCGCAATCTTTTAGATAAAGTAATGTCCAAGTACTTTTCCTAACAGAAATTATTTGCGTAGATTGCTTTTAAGTGAAAAGATAATGGAACAGTTTTATGGTTTTTATTTTCTAGTTTTATATTTTTAATGTTCGGATGTAGGATGATTGAATGTCCCCTTTTTGCTGAAAATGACGAAAATAAGCGTCCGATCTTTGTTGCTCGATCAACTTTTCTCTTAATTTTCAGTGAAATGTTTTCGGCTTCATGTGATAAAAAATGGTCATTTATTTGATGTTTTTGTTATGGCATAAGTCGGAACTTACGAATTGTTTTTTGTTGATAAGTTTTGAGAAAAATTAAGTTAACATAGATAGATGTATTTAATTTAAAGCAGTCATCTTCATGTTGTTTGAACAGGTAAACGAAATGATTATTGGTGGTGGCATGGCCTACACGTTTTTGAATGTTATTAATAACATCAATATCGGAAAATCACTTTTTGACACAGAGGTAAATATTTATTCAGTTAATTTACTCCGTAGGCAATAAACATATTCCTTGTTGTTTACAAAATAAATTAATTTCGTAATGACTACTATGCTGAACTTTTATTTAGTCATATATATATAATTAAACTTGTTATTATAGATATGGAATAATTTTTATTTGTAGTATCATACAAGTACAATAAGTGTGTGGTTACCTAGTAAGTAGATATAATTAGTGTAATATAGGTATAAATGTTATACATAATTTGATCTCAGTTTATTACTCTTCTTTCACGCTATAATTAAAGTAAAGGCGTATAATTTTAAGTTGATGTCGAAAGTTAATGTCATCATATGCATTGAGTTGATGTCTAACATATGATTAGCATAGGTGAAAATTTTCATTGCAGGGTGCCAAAATAGTAAAGGAATTGATGGATAAAGCCAAAGAAAAGGGTGTGAAAATACATTTACCAATTGATTTTGTTATTGCTGATGATTTCAAAGAAGTATCGAACTTTCTCTTTGGTTTCTTAGTTTTCATCTCGAAAGTTTTTCAAATAATTTCATACTTCGTAATAAAAAAAGTTTGCTGTTTATTTTTATTTTTATTTTTATTTTTTTTTTGTTCAGGATGCCCAGTTCAAAACAGCCGACCTCAGTTCAGGTATTCCGGATGGATGGATGGGTTTAGATATTGGACCGGAAACAGCCAAGCAATTTGCTGAGGTTGTGGGACGTGCAAAAACTATTGTTTGGAATGGGCCAGCAGGTGTTTTCGAGTGGGAGAATTTTTCGAAAGGAACAAAAGCTGTAATGGATGCTGTTGTCGACGTTACTTCCAAGGGCGCTGTTACTATCATCGGTTACTTTTTTTTTTTTGTTTATGTTTCATTTGTATTCATATTGCATTTTACTTTTCTCAGCTTAAACAATACTTCTTAAGCAATACTTTTTTTTTTTTTTATTATCATAGTTTGAATTTTAAAGGTGGTGGCGATACGGCGACATGTTGCAAGAAATGGAAGACTGGTGACAAAGTGAGCCACGTTAGTACTGGTGGTGGTGCAAGTCTGGAATTGCTTGAAGGTTATTATTTATCATCTCTTTTGATTGATAGGATTTACCTAGTTCTGTTGTTGGATTTTTTTTAAGACTAGTTTAAGAATTTTATGGTCAGATATACTTAATTTGTATGGCATGAACCACCCCTTATTTTATTTCTCAGTTGCTTATGCCTTCTTAGATTTCTTCTTTTAAATTTTTCAATGTAATCCGTAATTAGAATATACATATCTTTTTTTCTGCATTTTTTTTTCTTTTTCGTACTTCCCTTATAAAAATTTTATCCCAGTCTTTATCATGAATAATCGACTCGTCATAGTGACTGATAATAAGCTTTGTGTTTACCGTTCATCAGTACTTTTCGTAGATCATAGCACAAGCGCTATTGACTTTTTTAACATAGTGAAAAGAAAAAGTGTATTTGGTTTTTAATTTAATGCTTTGATTTCAGGAAAAGTACTACCTGGTGTTGATGCGCTTTCTCCAGCTTAAACTACATTTAGGTAATTTAAGAAAGTAGTTGCATTTTGCAAATCGTGAATCACTGATTCATATTAATGACATGAATGATAATAATACTGTAAAAAATACTGTTAGCGACGGAAGAATGTCTATGTTTATGTTGACGTGCGAAATAATTTGTTAAAAATCAGCATTTAAATTTTTCGTGTAGTGTATTAGAAAAGAATCATTCTATTTCATCTCTCTTCTTTGTTTATCCTTAAATTTATTTCTAATAAATTTTCAATAAAATATTTTTTTTTCTCTGCAGAAAACATTCTGGCTAAATTTAAATTATCCATTGCTTCCGGTATTTTCATATCTTCTTTTGGTACATCTTGACCTTAGCAAAATTTTACATCTTCGTATGTGACTTAGCACATCGATTTACTAAAGGAAGTAGCTCATCACTGATAATCTTAAATCATATTTTTTACTCTTTGTTTCACTTTTTTAAAGTTATCATCATAGAAATTTTTTTGATATATTAGTAGATCGTCCTAATGTTTGTTGATTAACATTTAATCTTTTTTTTATTTTGGATAACTTACTCTTATTATCTGGAAGTCAATAGGAAATTGACAGGTTTGACAGAGACAAAGGTTTGAAATAAAAATCTGGGATAATAAACTGATGATATATTTTTGAATAGAAAAGATTCAAATCTATTCCTTTCACGAAACTTCAGTGAAGAAATAAGTATAAAATTTGTTCGATGAATTTTCTTCTTTTTTTGAAATTTTAGAATTCACTACAAAAAGAAATTGAAATTATGTCTGAAATGTTTGAATTTCTGTTATTTTTTTAAAATATGGTAATTTCTGCCAATGAAGTGAGGTTTTTTTTTTGCGATTTACGTGAACCAAGTGATGATTTGATCAAAAAAAAGCGTGAAAATGTAATTTAATTTTTTCTCTTGCAGCAGCAATTATTTAGTCACTAAGGTGCTAGGAAGGTATATATTAAATGGAGTGACATTGGAAGTTAAAGATAAAATGAGAAGGAAATATTGGTTTATTGATTTAGTCAAAAGGCCAAAATCTGAAATAAGTAACTGGTAAAGTTATAAAAGGAAATGCATGAAATGTACTAAATAAAGAGACTCGAATCGATAGAACTTATAAAATACTTTGAAAAGTGCATTTGTTTAGTTCCGAATAAAAATTTCAAGTTTGCGATTGAAATATAAGTTGGAGCTCTTTTTTTCATAGCAAATTAGAGTCAAAATTTGATTGAAATTGAAAGATTCTGTTTGAGAAGAAAAGTGTACACATTTTTTTTTTTTTTGCTTCGTTTCTTAGTGGGCGAATGAAATTATGAATTCATTTAAATGACATCCAGTTGTACTTCTTTAATTTCTTGTCTACAGATATCGAAGAATTTTCATGAAATAAAGTATTTCATGCAAAAAAAGGAAAAAAAATTGAAAACTGGTGCTAAGTAATTTTAATTAAAGTTAGCGTTTTCTTGTAAAGATATTAACAGTTCATTCATTGGAAAATTGTAAAACTGGTATTGTAAAGCAAGTTATACTAATTGCTGAAAATTGTCAAATAGGTAATTTTAAATAGATGAAATTATTTTGAAGAACTTGCTGAAAATAAGATAAGACGATAAAAATTAATTTACAGCAGCAAAAAAGCGTACTGATTAGGTATTGTTTTACATTTCAATATTTAAGAAAAATATTATTCTAATAATGCATATTTGAAAAGAAAATTTTTCACTTATGACCAAATAAACACTTAAGATTTGAAACACTGCAATAATGAATAAAGTGCATAATTTTTTTATTAATTTGCTAAAAGAAAAAACTTCATTCCATTATTGTTTATATTATAGTTAGATAATAAATAATTCAATTACATTTTAATTTATCACTCAAATTATTCAAGTTATTATCGTCCATATGTGAGATTAAATTTATTGAGATTGCCATCACATTACATTGCTCAAATGACATTTTAAATTAGCTGTTGAAGGCTTTTTTCATTTCCTCTTCCTTCTAATCAAAATAATGTGCCAGTAATGTTTTTGAAAAGAAATTCATCCCCATTAAAATCGATTTAAGTATTATTCGAATCGAATGGTATTAAAAAAAGGAGGAAGAAAGAGAGGAAAGGAATTGAAATGGAAAGGGAAGGAAAAGCAAGGAAATATTTAGAGAACTTTTATGTAATTATTATAAATGCACAGGTGTATATATCGGTGTTTATCTACGTCTCTCCTCTTAATAGCTCGTAAGCTTAAATATTTAAAAATTCTTATAAAGTATGAATAGAAATGGATCAATGATGATAAGAATGATAATAACGATAATACATACTTTTAGTTTCAACTAAGATTAATGATTAAAATTAGAATTAAGATAGAATAACAGTGGTAATAAGTAGCAACAAAAATGTGCTTAGCAACGCTATTCTTACTTCATAAAATGATAACAAATTGCTTCCCATAGTTACGTATATGTCTGTTTCATCTTAAAGCTTCCTAAAACTATTTTAAAAAAATCTATTTCAGAGCTTCCTAAAATTATTTTTATTCTTCTCATTTTACAATTATCAATTCGCAACTATCTTACAATTAATCAGAAAAAAAAATGGGTAAGCTAATTTTTGAATTGTTTTCTAAATATTCGTTGCACAATTTTGTACTTTTTATGTATTTTAATTTTTATGTGTATTACCAATTCCATCTATGTTTTTTTTCCTTTCTCACTTTTCTTCTCATTCTCTAACATTTAATTTTTTTTTTATGTTTGAAAATTTATGTATTATTGAACAACGAAAAAGGAGGGATCATTTCTTAAGCTTCCAAAAATATGTGTTAATTATTGATCAATACTTATTGATCAATCAACCATTTCTATTTTTTGAAAAAGATAAAGGAAAAAAAGGAAAATTTGTTGTACTTGAAATTATTTGACTTTAAAACTCTTCATTTAACTTATTACTTCGATCACTGTGATTTTTTACAGTGAGAAAGTTAATACATTTTCAATATGATTTAGTCCATGAACAATGATTTGAAAAGGTTTTACTCATCCAAATGAGAGTATTTTCTTTCGATCCTATGTTTTACCCTTAACATCCGGTACGGCCCATCCTACCGGAAGCATACACCTAACATCGTTAGCATAATTCTTAACCTCTCAGAAAAGTAAGCAAACTCCTCCTTCATCACAAGAGAATGGTAAATAAAATGTCATATTTCAGTTAATCTGCCAGGTGAAAATGAAAAGGTGTATCCTTGTGAAATTTGCGGACGAAATTTTGTGAAAAATAGTTTGGTAAGTAGCAATTAATGTAAAATAGCATTTCATAATAAATTCACTAAGATAATTGTGTTTGGTTCGACAATATTACAATTTTATTGGTTTAATTAAAAAAAATATTAAAATATTAAAATGAAAGATCATTTATTTTAAACTTCATGGATATTTGCTTTGAAGAAAAGGAAGTTTTAACGTTTTAAAAAATTTTTAAGTATGATAGATGATAACAATGCAATTTCATGATTCTACATCAGTATTTCTATTTTAATTAAATTAAAATTTTGTCGTTATATGTAAAAAAATGATTTAAGTTAAAAAAAATTGTACCAAAAAAAATCAATTTAAACTAAAAAGAAATTAGAATTAAATTATTATTATAGTAAAGTTAAAGTTACAAACAATATTAATTAAGAAAGAAAAATAAGATCAAATACTAAGTCAGTCGCTAACTATTTAAGCATATTATTTAGATGAAACATGAAGTAATATGCCAAAAAATGGTAAAAGCAAAACGGAAAGTGTTTGATTCCGGTAAACAACGAGCAACTGGATCTGATATTACGATTGATAATGTTATAAATGCTCGAAAGGAACGCGAAAAGGTTAATTATTCATAAATCAAATTAATCAAAAGTTATTGATATCATATATTTTCTGGAATAGATAAAAAGAATAAAAAGAATTGCATTCAGGAAGTAAAAATATATAGCATAATAGCTGTTCCAACCGGAATGACCGGAATGCGATTGTCTGTAATGTGCATAGCATTTAATGATTGAGAATATATATATTCTGGACAAATAATGAAAGCAGAAAAAAAAAAGGAAATGATTATATATTTTTTTACAGTTTTACAATAGTTTTATAGCAGTTTTCTTTTTTTTTTTTTTATTTTCGAAGATAGCTTAATCATAATATGCAGGGAAAGCGTTTCAGATTTCTAAAATACTTACTATTTGTTCAAGTAAATAGATTTTATTAATTTAATGGGAACAAAATATAGCATATTTGAATGATTGCATAAATCAATTTTCAATATTTATATGTTATTATGAATGAATAAACTAATCAGCTTGGTGGAACGTTTCCAAGACCTAAGACAAGTTGGCGTGAAAAACATGAAACATTCGTTAATGCTGTGTCAACATCTAAACAAACGAACAATTCACTTCGTGCTGATACACCTTTTTCAGTAGTACCAAAAGGTAAAATTTAAGCTTAAACTTTGTCGATAAAATTGCAAATAAAAAACATTTGCCAAACATTAATCGAAAACTTTTTAATTTCATGAAATTTGTCTTTTAGTTAGATATGAAAGTGATTTCATCATGTAATAGCAGGATATTTCCTTTTGTAAATTAAGAAAGGAAATTAGAAAGGAGTAATACAATTATTTCATTTACTTATTAAATTGGATTTTGAACTATAACAAATGCCATATATAAACAACGAAAATGACATTTCAAGAATTCAAAACACAAATTAAATGTCTTATATTTTAGATGCTAAGTACAATTTTTGAAAATTTCCTGAATAATGTTAAATAATATAGTATTATCGGGTGCTTTCACTTTTTCTACCATATGCGCTTGCCTAAATTAGCTTAAAATGTTTGGTGCCTTAAAATTTTTTTTTCAGTTCGCATTGAAGATTTAGTATATATTAGTATGGCTTATTGTCTTTTGGCTGGTTTTGGTCTTTTAGCTTTTAATCTTATGAGTTATTGCTGTTTCGTACTAGCATTTTTCATATTTAATTAATATAACTTTCATTTTTTTATTTTATTTAACAAATCTTATCAATAACTTATATTTATTTTTGAAACAATACTCACTTTGATTGTGGAAAAACTTTAACTTGTTAAAGGTTTGATAGTAAGTCTATTTAATAAGTCGTTGATGTGATGGTTTAATCAAAATTAACAACTGCACTTTACACAGTAATTAATTGCAACAAGTTGTTCAAATTTATACTGCAAAAGTCGAATAAAATTAATTTCGCTAATGATGTATTTAAATGTTCTATTCGTAATAAATGATAAAATATCGATTGAAGAAATCAATCGATATCTAAAATAGAAATAAATGAAATTTAGGTTTTATTTTTAAATTTATTTGAATACTATGCATGCATGTTTCGAGGGAAACACAGCGATTATATATTCCATAATTTATTAGCTTTTATGTTGACAATTATGACAATACAATATAGTCCACATAATAAATAAATGATACTAACGATTTAATTTAAGGAAAAGAAAAAGTTAGCTCAAGTAATATTTTCATAAGTTAAATAGCAACTTGTTTTTATTCTTCTTTATTCATATTAATGCTAATTGAAATAATTAGCAAGGAGATCTTGAAATTTATTCATTTAAACAACTAATAAAATAACGAGCGCATCTGTTAAATTATTATTATTTTAGATTACGTCAAATGCGAATATTGTGAACGTAGTTTTAATAAAGCGGCAGCAGAACGGCATATTCCATTTTGTAAAACGCAACAAAAAAAGAAAGGACCAATAAAGGTAAATAAATAATTGTAACCAAAATTTTTAGTTTTATTAATTTATAAAATTTGAAATACAATCTTTTTTACTAAATCCAAATAATGTTATTAATTGTGGTTTTAAAAGACGTGAAAATTTAAAACATTAAAATATCATAATGATAATAATATTAAAATTATTATCCAAAATTGAAGAAATTAGAAAAAAAATAAATTTCAATGGTTTACAAATTTTACAACATTTTGTAGAGCGCTGTGATGTAAGCATTAAGTATTGAAATTTTTAAAAGTTTCTATGATTAATTATTAAAATTTTTATTAAGTGTTAAAATTTTTGATAATCTTTGTAACACAAGTATTTAAATACATTAAAAATTTTACAATTAAGATTTTTAAAAAAAAATTTAAATCGCTTACTTACCCTTTTTTGTGTGTATGTTTAACATCAATTTCACAATTATAACAAAATTAGTAAAAAATTTTTCACATTTTTGAAATGAATATCAATATGAATGCTGCAAATTTAGATACAAAAGATAAGACCACAGCAATCTAATGCAACAATGATACGATCAGAAGCTAATGACTGTCACCGATTAACTAATAAATCGTTAAGTCGTGATAACAAGATGAATTCGAAGAAAAATGACTATCATTCAACAATATCAGAACATCGTTCAAGCATTTCCTCAAGACGATCTGGTTCATCGCAGCGATTAAATGTTAATAATATAAGTGAAAATGATCGACGAAGAGAGAGGAGCTTATCAAGAAAGTAAAGTATTTTTATTTTTTTATTAATTAAAATGCCATTTTTAAATAAATTTTCAAGCAATCAATATATTCTATTATGTACATTGTACTTATTATCATCTGCATTTGTTATCTTTTTGAAAATTTTCAATTATCATTTAATTTCATTAAAGCAATTAAGGATTAAAAGGAAAATTTTTTTTTTTTGCTACAGAAGAAATAATTCTGCTACACATTCAACCAATAAATTCATTAAACAAATAAGCAATGCATCAGAACGAGAACGGACAAATTCATTGTAAGTAATTTCGAATGCAATAAGAAAGGAAGTCGTCAAAGATTAATTTAATTACTAAGTCTTAGAATTTAAAAAGATTGATTTTTTAGGGGCTTATATCGAGCTATTAGTCGAGAACAAACATCTGCGCCAATGTCTCGGCAATCATCGCTTACAAGAAAAGACAATGGGACAGAAAAAAAAAGTTAACAAGAAAGAAATTTAAAAGAGAATTGAATTTCAAAACATACAATTTTTTTGCACATAGATATTATGTAATATATTGCAATTAAAAAAACTAAAAAAAGGAGAAAATTAAAATTCTTTTTGCAATTAAAAAAAAGTGAACATAACTGAATCAAAATTTTAGTAAGAAAAATTAAATTCTGATTTGATAATGATAATATTGTTGTCTTAATTTACTTTACCATATCATCCACTTGTTTATATGTATAAAAGTGATGCCAAATTAGCTAGATGATCCGTCCAATCCTTTTAAATCCCATCTGGCATAATAATAGATAATATCGACTTATTTTCGTTAAAGTAAACTAATAAATCTTTAATAAGAACTATACAATAAATTTACAATAAAACGACTGAGCAATTGATTAATTTTATGTTGACGATAATAATTCCATGTCAGATAATTCTTTTTGACGCTAACTGGCTCACGTACGTAACCATACTCATTATACCAAACTATTATTTGCTAATAATTATTTAATAATAAAAACAATTAACACATGAATGAGTCATTAAAATTTTCGTAAAGAGGAGCGAAATTTTATAGGCCGTCAACCAATATGAAACAACGGGGGTTATTGGACAGCTTTGTGAATTCGAGAGGGGATCAGAGACTAGTGTTTTGTTTAATCTGAAGTAAGTGAAGTAGAGTGGCGGGCATTTTACATCTTACTTAGAAGGGTTTTACCTAGACTAGCTTACTTACTACAGATTAAGTTGGTATAAGTAAAATGTAAAAAAGTAAAGGTGAAAAATTACATTAGGAGTTCATTATATGTTATTTTATTGATATAAAGGAATTTTTTTCCTTGCCATAATTAAAATCTGAAAAGAAATGCGTATGCGTGTAACACGGAGATAAAAATTAAGAAAGTCTGATGAGACATTAGAATGTATTATTTGAAATTTTGGTTTTCATAAAATAGCAAATAATCCAGGTATATTTGTCATATACTAAGGAAATGTTGAAAAATTCTGCTTGAATACGTGAATAGCAATTGAATATACACATTTTGTTTGCTAAATAATTGTAGTTTCACTTATTTTCAACCTTTATTCAAGTAATAAATGAGCAAAATTGAAAGAAAACAGAAAAGAAATAATGGAAACATTTTTCTATCATTCACTGAGATTCCTCTCAAAAGATAATGAATGATTAAAATTTTCATTGTAAATAAAATAAAGACAAATGATTGCATGTCACTGAAAGTGTTTTCTATTTGAAAGAACATTTTTATTTAAGTAAATCTTAACGTAAGATAACTTTTTTGACTTATATAAAAAGTGCAAACGCACTTCGTATTAGGATGTAGAAATATTATTTCCTCGTTTCTATAGTGAAAAAAAAAGTATTCACACGTAATGTTAATTTTCGATACGTAGTTTCTATTTCCTTACGTGAAAACTTCGTGAAACTATGCCACCTTATCCATATATCATTTCAAATTTATGATAATTTTCATCCTCCTCTTATAAATTAAACCTTTCGTAAAGTAATTTCTCACTACAGAAAGAAACAGCAAATATTTTAAGGATTTTCACAGAAAAATTTTTTTCATATTTGTAAGTTTCTTTTATCTTTACCTGTTTTTTTTTCTCCCTATCTTTTCTAGGCTTTTGATGAAAACTGCGTGGTCATTTAGAATGTCGTCGGATGAAACTGTCATGTTCTGAGTCAGTCTCGAGTGACCAATGTCTTGAAACGCCTGCTTGCGGGATTCGGTCTACAACTTTCAAGTGTACTTTTTCACCTGCTGTTTTATCCCTCACTATATCGCTGGATGACTTTACAAAAAAAAAAAGAAAAAAAAAATCCTTCGAACGTGTGCAGCGGCTTTGGTTTTTTTAAGGGATACAGCATAAGCGGATTAGGCTTCATCCTTTACTAAAGATTCATTTGTCAAAGCCTAGCAAGACTGGAACGAAGTGCTCAGGTAGTTTAGGTAGAGTAAAATTTTTATGGATGTATAACTTTACCTGGCTAGATGAGCTCCATCTTGTTTTGTCAATTGGAGTTATCCTTGTCCTATAAGTTACTGAGAATTAATAATCATTTCTGTTCATTGTTGATACGTTTTTAAGACTTCTCTCACAAAATTAGAAGATCGTATCAAAATAGCTTACTGTTGTAATAAATTTTTCCTAAACAATCTTTTGTTAGCAAAAAGGATCAGCAAGTATTTCAAAGGATTTCGAAAGAATTTTCCTCTATGTTATTTTGTGCAAATTTTTGGCATTTAGAATGGAAACGTCAAAACAACAGAAAGTGTAAATATCAAAATGTTAAAATCAATTCTGTAAGCATTAAAACAACAAATTATACATGTCGAAATGTGGCAAAATTATATAAATATATACAACAATTCAATTGTTAAACAACTCGATGGTAATTCTTTTACTGGTTTCTTTTATCTTTTTCTCTTTACACTTTTTTCTCATTTTTTTTCCAATTTTTAAAGAAAATTTTTGGCTTCAAGCAACTGTTACCCGCCTATTAGCTTTTTGACAGCATTTATTTGTTTATTTTATTTTTTTTTTCTATTTCTTGTTAACTTGTATCATTTATTTTGTATCATTTACTGGATGCTATATAGAAGAAAACAATACAGAAAATCCGTACTCTTAAAATGATTTGTTGATTTCGATGGAAAATATTTTCGTTTTCTTTCTCCTTTGTTCTGTTCTTTTTTCTCCACTCTTTCTCTTTTTCTCTCCGTTTTTGCCTCTCTTCCTCTCTCCTAAATTAAAAGGACGGTCTGATCTATCTGAAAGGAAAATTAGATATGATTTCCTGATTTCATTTATTTTAGTGTAATATAAGAAAGATATATTATCATCTTCATTACTACTGTTACTACTTTGCTGTATTACGATTGTTATAATTAATGTAATTCAGGTATGCTGTCATCTTTCTTCCGGTTTCGTGAATAGTTCATTATATTCCTAATAATTATGTCAGGGTTAATCTCTTTGATACCATTAACATACTTTTTATGGTATGCATTATCACTGGAAGCATGGTAATACATTTTTCTCTTCGTTATTGTTATTTTAATTCGATTTAAAAAAAAAAAAAAAATTTTAAAATTTTATATTAAAAATTGTATTTTGAAATTTCATTGAAATTTAGTGCAGTATCTATCTATCCATATAGTTAATAATTAATGCAAGATTTGATCACAGAATATGTTTACTCACATATATGTACATAGCACAGATATCTAAATTTAGTTTAGTGTTTTACTTCAAGTAGTTATCAGAATTTATGTTCCTCTAAATCTAAATGTAAATATTAGAAGTGATCATAATACTTTTTACATATTTCTCAGAACTCAGTTTATGTCATTTTTAGGCTACCGAATCGACCAAATATAATACTTATCATGACGGATGATCAAGATATTGAATTAGGCTCAATGCAGGTCTCTTTGTACTTCGTTTTGTTTATATTTATCATAGGTATATTTGTATTTATATTTATATAACAATTTAGTAATAAATTCACTGATAACTTTCAGTCGGATTTATGATATTACTAGTTCTGGATCTCATATAAAGGAATTTCTTTTGCATTCATAACTTTTTTGGACAAGATATCTTGAATGCCGACAACATTTAGTTACTGAATTTTAACATAACAATTTCGAGACGACTATTTACTGAATAGAATAATTGTTTATCTTTTTTTTTTTTTCAGTTTATGCCAAAAACCGTACATCTGCTAAAAGAACGTGGGGTAACATTCAGTTCAGGTTTCGTTTCAACACCTATATGTTGCCCAAGTCGAAGTTCGATATTGACTGGAATGTATGCACATAATCATCATGTACTTACCAATAATCATAATTGTTCAGGGAATAACTGGAGGTATTCTTCCTAGAATTTGGTTTAAGAAATTTCGAGATATTCCTTACAAAATTAGAAAGCGATGTCTATTTGAATGAATTGCATTAATGATTACCACTGAATTGTTAACTGGAAAATCCGCATATCCAGCATCTAATTAACTAACGATAAACACTGCTGCTACACTGAATCAGGACTAAATTATTATGTCTTAATTACAAATAAGAGAAATTTGTAGTTGTTAAAATTTTTGAATTCATGCGGAGATAAGCTACAATCGATAGAATAGTTAGCAGAAGCATTAATAAATGAAATGTAATTAAACTATAAATTAGGGGAGTAAGTTTTTTTTTTTTTTTTTTTGATAAATTTGAGCTTGAAGCAAAGTTACATCAAATGTATCTTTAGACATAACTATGAAAAAAGTACATTTGCTGTGTATCTAAAAAATGAAGCAAGTTATACAACGGCATATTTTGGTAAATATTTAAACGAGTATATCGGTTCATATATTCCGCCTGGTTGGGACTACTGGATGGGATTGCTTCGAAATAGCCGGTTCTATAATTACACCGTAAATGTAAATGGTAATAAGATCAAGCATGGATGGGATTATGGAAAGGTTTGTTTATAAAGAATTTTTTTTTCTGCAGAATTTCAACTAATTCAATAAATAGATTTGACAAGAAGTTATTACGCGTCGAAATTTTTATGACTTTGGTCAGTAATTGAAAACTTTGGATTATTGTATTGTTTCAGGATTATTTCACTGACTTAATTGCTAACGATACGATAGCGTTTATCCGACAATTGCGTGACAAAGATCCATTCAAGCCGTATATGATCGTGATATCATTTCCCGCACCACATGGTCCCGAGGATCCAGCTCCACAATATTCTGCATGGTTTCAGGATGTTGAAACACACAGGTGCTTTGATTCAGAAATTCAAAAATTCTGTATGCAGTAATGAAACCGGTTTTTTTTTTTTGGCATGATTAGTTGATAGTTAAGTTTAAGAACAAAATTGATTGATAGTTGAGTTTAAGAACAGAAGCTTGGAATTATGCTCCAAATCCTGATAAACAGTGGCTTTTGCAACATACCGGACGTATGGAA